GTGGATACTTTATTGATACTCCAGATAGTATAAATGGGTCCTTTGTGGTTAGCAGCGCCAAAAACTGAGGATCCTTCCAAAGAATGGGCTATTATATTACTAATTAGCGAACTATGAGGGTGGACTAAGAACATTGCTTGGTTACAATGCAAACTTTGAACACTGAGCGCCTATGATATTGGTACTGGAACATATCCGTGTGATGGTTGATGGAAGTTCATGCCCGTCCCATGAATTTCAGCAATTTCTAACAAGATTATACTCACTAATGGCTTGATATGTGAATTGTTTAATACTAAATATGAGTTAGTAAACTTTCAAAAATTATGCATTTAAAGGTGCTTGTAAACTGGTATCTCTCATGTTAAACCTATTAAATGAAGACAATATTTATTATTATCTAAACTTGACCATTATGTATACGCCGTAAAGCAATATTTCCTTGTTCGTTTCATAACTAGCAGGATCTTCGGCTGTTTTTATCAGAGTTAAATGACATTCCGACCTTACCACTGTTGACTCGTAAAGTCTTGTAGATAGCACGCGCAGATGTGGGAAGGGGAATCCCTACGCAGACCGGCTTGGAAAAGAGGGGAGTTCCTATACTTTTAGACCCATCCACACTTTATGTACATTTTCATGTATGTATGCGTGATTAGCCACATAGTTTTTCCATTATAAGATTCTTAAAACCTTTCTACACGAGTGTATCGCAGTAGCTTTTAGAGGGAACCAGTGTACATAAGTTCATTACGGTGACGAGGGGAACCAGTGCTCACACCCTTGTAAGCAGTCGTCAACCCTTTAAGTGTAGGAGGAACACGAGGGCTGTAATAGCTGTTTCATACATTTAGAGGTCCATCACCATCAGCCTAGATGCATAGATGGTGACTAGGTGGGTGATAGACTTGCCGTTTATTAGTAGCCTATTAAGTGAAGAGCGGAAAAGTGTCAACGAGCTTACCGTACGAGTTTCTTCTGGAAGCCTGTTCCAAATGTGTGAGAGTTTATTGAGGAAGAAATTATCTCGCAACCTCACCGTAAAACACTCAGTTTCAACCAATACTTTGTGGTTGTGAATATCGCACGCAGACGATACGATTAGCTTGATTTGCGGACATTGAGAGTGCAAGTACTGGTGAGGTAACTTGTAATAAAATATAAGGTTCAGTTTAAGTCTCCTCTTCCAGAGCGGTTCTAACCCCTATATGTTACGTCTGGATTTGTAGTCTAGATTACAGCCAGTTCCAAATGTTCTGGAGGTGAAGTAACGTTGTACCTTTTCAACTTTCGGTTTATCACTTCTACGGAGGCCATCAGCTCCGCTGTCATCATCTCAAACAAACCAAGCTGCGATTTGCACCTCTCTCGTTTTATTTGAACATCTCCTGGTTAACCAAATCACTAGTTACTAGCCGGTACTAAGCCCGGATAAAGTGGGAAGGCTGGGCATAGCGCTAGCAACCCTACCCCGGAAAACAAATATAACCGCTAAACAAACTTCAAAGCACAAACGATATATAAAAAATAATAACAAAATTATTCCTCTCTGGAATCAGAGAGGCGAAATGATACCAGTTGGTGAAAGCCTGCCTTAGGGAAGCCAATTGGCCGGGCCGATGTGTCTTCTCTCCCTCGATGAAAACGAAAGTAAATGTGGGGACATGGAATGTCCGCGCGATGTTTGAACCCAACAAGGCAGCCCAGATTGCAAACGAGATGAGAGGGTATCACATTGAAGTGCTTGGAATTTGCGAAAGCAGATGGAATGGGAGTGGACTCTCCAAACTGTCAACTGGAGAGTCAATAATCTATTCCCATATTGTCACCCAGACGACAACCACGAGCACACTGAGTTCTCGAGTGGCTATCATGATGTCTCCAAGAGCACCAAAGGCTCTCATGCAGTGGGGACCAATCTCCTCCACGATCAGGATCATGACAGCAACATTCATCCCAAAAGGAAGGAAAGTCACAATCATACAATGCTATGCTATGCACCCACAAATAATGCAGATCAAGAGAAGAAAGAGGAATTCTACAGACTTCAATCAACACTCGACAAGACCACACTGCAGTTGGCGATATCAAAATTCTAATGGGTGGGGCGACATGAATGCCAAACTGGGAGGGGACAACACAGGTAGAGAACTAACCATGGGTCGAGAAGCGCTAGGTGAGGTGATGAACGAGAATGGAGAATTGTTTGCAGACTTCTGTGCATTCAACGATTTGGTGATTGGAGGCAGTGTGTTCAAGCACAAGTATATCCACAAAGCTAGCGACATGGATTTCACCAGACACCATGACACACTAAAAATCAGATCAATTTCATCCCAATCTCAAGAAAATGGAGGCGCAGTCAGCCTACTTGACACAAGGTCAAGAAGTGAAGCAGATGGAGGTTCAGACCACTCATCGTCTAGTGCAAGGAACCTTCAAAATCAAGTAAAGTAAAGTAAATCAAGTGAAGCAGGTGAACCAGTGCGAGGATGCACAACGAAAAGTGGAACTGAACACAACCTATAGAACACTCCACTGGACAAAGAAGTGAAGAAGAGTGCACGCAAAGACAAATGACATTTCTACGAGACGCTGCCAAGTATAGCAGAACGGGCTGCAGGTAGGAGAGTCGGAGACCTGACAACAATGTATCAACTAGCCAGGATACTATCTGGGAAGAGGTCAATGCAGACGAAAGCAGTGAGAGATAGTGAAGGAAACTTAGTTGCCACGAAAGAGGGGAAACGAGGGAAACGATGGGCTGACTACTTCAAGAAGCTCTTGAATGGACCACAACCTGCACTTCGCCCAGAAATACCACCTGCAAAGGCAGAACTACCAGTGAACACAAATCCCCCCACAAAAGTCGGAGTCCTGAGCGCCACAAAGCAGCCGAAGTACGGGAAAGCAGCAGGACCAGATAGAATCTCACCAGAAACACTGAGGGCAGACGCAGAGACAACAGCGGACATTTTCACACTACTATTGTAGAAGGTCTGGTAGGAAGTAAAGGCACCTGACCATTGATTAGAAGAAGAGCTAGCTTGTCAAACTCCTGAAGAAGTGCTACCTAAGCCTTTTCAAGAAATGGCGCGGAATCACTCTCCTGTCCATTTAACGCAAGCAAAATACTAGGCTGCATCATCCTGGAAAGACTAAAACATGCTCTAGATCCAAAATTACTACCGGGACAGGGTGGCTGGATTCAGGAAGTACGAATCATCTGCGGACCAAATTGCTACGCTTCGCATCAACATAGAACAGAGTATAGAATGGCGGTCAACTCTCTAACTCAACTTCATCGACTTCGAAAAGGCAGTCGATAGTGTCGAACGAGAAGTAATCTGGAAACTCCTTCAACACTACGGAATACCACAAACCTTTATCAGCCTCATTCAACAACTATATGAAGACGCCACATGCCAAGTAATTCACAATGGGAAGCTCAGTTATGTATTTTAAGTGAAGAGAGGAGTAAGACAAAGCTGTCTGCTATCACCCATGATATTCCTGATTGTGGTCGACTGGATCATGCAGCAAACAGTGAGGAGCGAGAAGGGGGAAATACGCTGGACCGGGGAAAGATCCTAGAAGATTTGGATCTCGCCGATGACTTGTGTCCAATGTAGCACAAACTCGAGGATGTACAGGTGAAAACTGACAAGTTGACAGAAGAGACGAGGCAAGGAAGACGGGACTTCAAGTGGACGTAGAGAAGACAAAGGTGATGAAAACACCCAACCGACAACACCACCAACAACAATCTCCAATCACCATCGACGGGAGAAATGTAAAGGAAGTAGCCTGTTTCACCTATCTAGGCAGCACTGTTTCAACTATAGGTGGCGGCACAGACGAGGACGTCAAAGCCAGCCAGGATCGGAAACACAGCAAGATAGGCGTTCATTTGCCTGAAACCAGTGTGAAAGATCTATTGCACTCCACATAAAGCGTGAACAATATTCGGATTTTCAGCGTCAACATCAAATCGGTGCTGCTATATGGTTCAGAAACTTGTCGCGTTACGAAACAACAATTTACAGACGTTCATCAACAACTGCCACCTACTCTGACTAGTTACTGAAGATCAGGTGGCCAGGAAGAATAAGCAAAAAAGGACCCTGGGACGAGCCAACCAAGAACCCATCGCTCAACAAATATGCATAGGGAAGTGGAGACGAATTAGAATGGGCATACAGAGGGTTGGCCGACTGAGGACATCACGCGTCAGGCCCTTGAGTGGAACACCCATGGGAAGCGACGAGTTTGGCGTCCTAGGTGAGGGTGACATGGAGGAGATCGTGCGAGGAGGAAATGTGAGCTTGTGGGCTGCGGGGGAGCCGGGTTCAAAAGATTTCAGAGAGCAGAGCGCATTGGAGACGTGCTACTGAGGCTCTATGTTCCATTAGGAACCCAAGGGACAAATAATAGTAGTAAAATAATCGTCTTCTTTGTGTATACGTAGATTAATCTATCATTTCACTTTTCTTTGTCTTTTACCCACAAACACTTGTCCCGAAGGGTGATTACTTCACTAGCCATGACCCTCTTTTTCGACGAGTTTGGAAGACTATCTGGCAACTCAATACCCTAAGAACTCACCCGCAACGCAGTCCCAAGCAAACCAATTAAAACCCAACCACTTCTTGGGTATACCAAGGCTTGAGCAGAAGAGTGGCTGGGTCTACTGCACCGCAATCTGCCAAAGACCCAGAACCGTTACAGAAGAACTCGAAACGAGGACGAAGAAATTGACTGGTTCACAGAAGCTAGTTAAACAGACATTAGATATTGAAAATAGACAATGGCTACCTTCAAAGCTATAGGTAGGAAAAGTGTTAAGACTTGTTGGACCACTGAATCACTAAAACCAAACGAAAAGAACCGAGCCTCAAGACCTTTAAGCGAGAGCTGAAAAACTAGAAGTTTTTGCTCAGTCGTGCTATTGATATCAATGTGGTTGATGTCCTTGAGTTGCGGGAAAAGTCATTGCGCATGCTTTTAAATTCTGGTAGCCATGAAGCTAATTAGACGTTTTGTATGTTTGAAGTTAAATACCTAATGACCTTGCAGAAAAAACAGTTTCTGGACTTGAAAACGCGAGTGTTACAGATGTGGTGGTCAAAAATAGAATGAAACATGTAAGACTCAAACAGTCGATTGCAATTTGTTCTTAGCGCTTGATGGCAGATATATCTACAGATATAAATAGTCTTCTTGTTAAAAGCAAACGTAAGTATCGGGTTAAATTTGCACTAAATAAATGCAGACACGACTTGTAGAGGTTATTTTAGAGGTCTATGGAATGCAAGGTATAACATTAGTTATGCAATCTGTCAATATTTTATGGAGCCAAAACAAGGGTCATGAGAAAAACTGCTTTGAAAACTCAAAGCAAAACTCAAAAAATTTCAAAGTTTGTCTGAGTTCTGCCCCAAGTATTTCGGCCGCACTTTTTTTCGATGTGACTCGTGGTCTGTGAATGATTCTGCGTTTCCCGCGAAAATTTTGACTAGGTTACTTACTTGTCCATGTGCATAATTTGAGATTTCTGCTTCCTGTGGTTAAATGCACGTAAATATTTAGTTACTAATCATGAAGAAAGCAACTGAGTGTCGCGAAATCTAGATACATTCATGAATTGTCCTGGTGCGAACTTGACAGACGCAAGGACCAATCACTAACTATTCGGACTTGTTATATACCCACAAATACGAGACCAAGGAAGAGCACAATAGCGTAGTCGGATGGAATAGTATATTTGCGAGTGGCGCCAAGATACCGATGCGTCCCAACTAACTGGCTACATAGTCGATTACGAGCAGTGCAACGTAGCACGACAGCGTGCCAAATGGCGGGGATGCTTGACCGGGTGCCTTCAGCTCAGCGAGTTCAGTTAAACTATCAAGGTGAGCACCAATGTTGAATCTCGTCAAACCCTAGGCTATTGATTTTGGGGAAGTGTGTGACGCTACATATACTATCCATCCAAGCTGCCCAAAGTGAACTCAGCTGGGAACTATAAAACTTTATAAAAAAAACTATGTTGGTTAGGTAGTTTTTACCATACTTAATATCCACTAACTTTTTGGCCCAGTATATCAACCAGTATCAGTAAGAATAATAAATAGAAAGTGATGAACATAGGGGTCATTTCTCTCACTTTCTCGGTTCTCAAAATTTTCTTACCCTTTCTTCACACTTTCATACTCTCTTTATCATTTACTACGTTCATTTTACAACGCTTGACTCTCCGCTTCAACGCTTTTACGCCTTTATTTAACTCTGCATTTTCGATAACCCCTCACATATACTTAATTCATAGAATTAGTAGGACGTTCGTAAGTTCAGGTGGATATTAGATACTTCGTTTGAATTAAACTATCTTTGAATAAGTTAATTAAGTGTCTACATCATCAAATGAAGTTACTGTATCTAGCGTTCTGCTTTGAAATGTAGTAGCACCAGTAGTGGTCACTCCTTGTCTGCAAAGTTTTGTTCAGGCTGGAATTTTTGAGATAGGTAGGTGTGAATAGCAACATAATTAATATGCGTCTTCTCATTTAATGTAGTAATTACGATGAAGATTATGTAACACTCACGACACTTTCAGTCAGATTTAACTCTCACTTCATTCCTTGGTTGAATACAGTCTAGTATGAACGTAAGATTTATGTAAATAATGGCCACCAATAAGATGATGTAATGTGTCTGCGACTGACGCTTCAAACCCTTGACGTTTTTAAAGAACATTTATAAGCACCACAGATCTTTTACATCCCCTAGCCAGTTTATATTTTAAGCCATAAGAAAAAACTTCAGTTAGCTTATCCAGTATTTTCTGCAGGTCGTTTTCCTCGATAAAAGTGGCAGCAAAATTTGCATTTGTGATAGGTAGCACAGCGGTTAATCAAAAAGTACTCTTTTACATCTAAGTACTCTACAAGTTAACTAATGAGCCCCAGCTTGGTTGATATTTCTAAGAGCGTGGAGTGTAGCAACTCTTGTGAGCTGTATCCCACCCATTAAATTGATTCAAGCATAATAATTATGACCACCTACCGTCCACTGGAGCATAAACGAACGATAAGAGAATCAGTGTAGTTACATTAAGATGAATCAAGTCCTGGAAATTCAGTACGTTCGTTTGGTTTTATTATAGAGTGTCGATTTTACTGTTACCACTCTCTGTTAATTTAAAATTCGCTTTTGAAGAATTTAAGTTGGGTAATTTTGGAACCGTTCACAGTGGAGCAAGCTCATATAATATTTGTCTTCCTATGTTTATATGCAAATATATTTCGTTGCACTAGTGAAAAACATCCCTTCTGCTCTGCCATAACCAAATGCTACTACCTAAATGCAACCTACGATTGAGGTGAATTTTTAATTAAATTATTTGAATGACATTCGAGAGCGACATGATGACTTCATATAAGCAGTAGAAGAAAATGCCTGTTAGGGAGCGGACCAAATTCCAGTTTTTAACAAAACTGATCACCCATTACCGCATTGTTTCATAGGTTATCACTGCTTGGACTCGATCTGTTGAAAAGGGCTAAACGCAGTCTCCCACAAGACTCCAAAACTTGAAACTTATCTAAAACTAACTTGCATTTAAATCATAATATTATGCATCTCTCTTTCATTATTGGTACATTTTTATTTATGACAACATATATCGGCTCCTTCCACTATTTCTAGCAATCTTATTTCTTTCCTCATACTGATTCCTACTGCGGTGAGCTGAAGTGAATTGCGGTGTCACGGATCGTCATGTGTATATCCTATGTATTATGTCAAACTTATCTGTCTTCCAGAAAGATGCTTAAAACAGTTGATTAGTTATAGATAAACAACAATTATAACATTTAGTTTCTCTGTCATTAAAATCGTTATTTTTCCAATTCTCTTCACAGAGTCAACGAATTCAATAAGTGAGGTTTTAAGGTCACTTCTTCAATATCTGAATTCAGATGCAGTATATTGTAGTATGATATTTCCATTAACACGTGTAAGTCAAGATTATTAAAACTGGTATATGGTTAACGGATCATTTGCGTTTAATGGTGAATTTCTCATGATCCAAAATCCTATGGACGATTATCTGAAGGCTAAAAAAATTAAACAGGCAGTTCGTGTTACTTATTGATGGAAGAGGAATTCAAAAATTTATATTTTCAGCCTTGTTTGTATATATGGCCAGAAAACTTCAGTTCTATAACGAGTTGTCTGCCGTAAAGTAACTCTGACAGGACCTAGTTGTCGATATTTTCTATCCACTGGCGATGCGATGTCGATAGTGTCCAAAAAACTCTCTTATAAATTGTCTTCACTCACAGCTTACCACCCCCTCTTTAAACTGAGCAAGGTTAATATCTGCGAATTTAGCCCCTTGATGTAGCATACAATATCATTTCAAGAAGGTAGCAGCGAAAATCGGGGATTGGAGCAGAATGCAGTTCGGTTTTGTTTGACCTATTAGATGCATCAGAAAGTGAAACAGTATTATTTACTGGAGTAGGCCTTAAGTTTGGTAATTAAGAAGTAACACCATCCAATGTTTCTTGGCTATTAATGACCCTTCATTTGACGTCAATTTTGATGAAATCTACCTTTAAAATGTCGGACACCACCTTGATGTAGAATAAGTTCAGCGGTTTTCGCCTTCATTTGTGCTTATTATAAATATATAACATTGCTTGAGGTCTAGTCTCATAGTCCATTGTCTTGCATCAACAACTTTGTGTTGATTAATCGACACTAAAAAGGTTAGATCATATTAAAGTTATCACGAGCTTTTTCCTGGAGAGAAACAAATCTATTCTTTAAGTATACATTTGATACTCTACGAAGTCGACCCAAATAGTTTGTTTGCATTTTCTATGTTTTCATCTCAAATACTTCATGTATTCTGTCTTAGATTATTGTACACTTTTTAGACCTATAATATACTTTGTCTTAATACATTATTCTATTTCTTGTTCTCGGTTTTTCTTTTCGGTAGTGCGGCTATCCTAGGTGACCTATTATCAAAAACATCAATGTTATTTTGTCAGGTCCTGGTACTGAACCTTTCAGTCCACTCAGCAGCGGTCTGACCTATGAAAATGCAGGTCTACGTAAACTGCAAAAGTTACTCGTCATGCTCAAGTGAACAACTCAGTATAAGGGAGCTTTCTGTATGAGTCCATTTAAATCAAAGATGTTTCACCTTTTCATTGTGGTAGAGCCCATAAATTCATCCAATCTATGGAAGAATGTCTATAATCAAGTATCAAATCTCGGAGAACATAGGACTCTCCGTTACCATATAGAGAAAGTCTCTTTTATATCTTTGCATTACCCACAAGCTCCTTCTAACTTTTTTCATTTTTCGTTTCACCGAAATCAGGAGTTGGAAAATGCTCATTGTGAACTGACTGATACACTTCATAATTTGTTGCCAGAGCCTATACTGAAGCAAATTGCAAAGTATAAACATTTAGAGGTTAGTTTCACAAGGTGCTTTTTTCCAACTTAATATTAAACATTTTATTGGTATTCTTGTGATGACTTATAGGATAACGTAGAATACCAACCGTTTAAATTTGATCTGGTCACTCAATCGGGTCATTAAGCAGTTGGGGCAATTTAACAAATAAATTGTGTATCTGAACACCTCCATGTGCTTGTATGGACAGAATGAATGTTTGTATCGTTGAAAATTATACTGAAATCTCCTTAATACTCCTTGATTTGGAGTTTCCTTCTGGATATAACAAGTTAGTTGCGGATATACCTAATAGACGAAATCCTTTTCATTTGCTTTGAATTGGAAACACTATCAATTAATTCAGATCATTTTTCATGCAAAGAATGGGTAAATAGGGATATTTCTTTTATTCATTCAAAATAATATAGCCTCAGTTGAAGGAATGGGAATCCTCAGCTCATCGTGTCAATCGACACAAACGTAATCTTGACCAAAGTTGTAATCGAAGTCGAAGTACAATTAAAGTTGAAAACGTGAGTTTTGCTTTTTCTCATATTTTATATGAATTTTGGTGGAATTATTTACTACTGTTGCACTGCAGATTCATCTAATACAACAGTGTTATTAGTTCAGTAGTACAACAACTCTGCAGTCAATACAGTTTATGTGGGTAGTTTGGAAGATGTTACTGAGTTTAGGAATCAGACTGTTTATACTGTCTACCCTGAGAATAAGTCTCATTAAACGGAGTTTCTTAGAAATACTCTGAACACAATAAGACGGTACTGTCGCAAAGTTATAAAAATGCATAAACAGTCAGTCATAGTAGTAATGCCCCGAAAGGAAGAATGAAATAGTAATCTAGATATAGAAAAACTCATATCTGTTTTCATTCTTACCGTTTATATAAGGAAACAAGTTATACTGGAGCAGGATCACTAATATACTCACTACTCAACCAAAAATATTAACCTATCAATACACTGAACTGCGTGACTCTTCAGAGTCTACCTAGGACATTGTGCCTTGTCAAGATATATTAAGCTCAATGCAATTCCAGCCATACAAAAACTTCCAGTAGTAAACTGGTCACCTTTCTTTTTTTAAAACCATTTACGATATCTTTCGGTTTTCGGTTGTCAATTTTTTTTTGTTATCTACCCTTGGTTTGCAAGCAACTTCAGTTTAATTTGTACATGGAACCAAAGGTGTTGAAAAGCTGAGAGAAGATGACTAGTCCATTTGAATTTTGAGTTATTAAGATATTGGTGCGCTGAAAAAGTGAATCTTGTCTCAGCGAGCTGAGTATTACTTATATCTATGGAAAATTTGTGCATTGTGGAGAGAATCAATTTATTATAAATATATCTGTGATGAATCGAGCTGAGTATGTATATAATCTGCTTTTCTGAGAAAGTCCAAGCATCAAGAAAGAAACGCAGTTTCAAGCTAGTACTTCATTGTGAAGCCTGTAATCTACTCAACTTTCGTCTATATGGTTCAATTACGGTTTGCCATTCTTATTAATTGATCGTTTCCGAACAGTTGGTGGTGATCAGATGAAAACTAAGTGACCGTGAATGAAAAGTCTATTTGACATAGAGTGGTACTGGTTAGTAATTTTAGAATCTACTTCTAATCAGAAGTGAACAGTTCTTACTTTAGGGATCGACAGATACCTATGAAACTATGGGTGTATATGTTGTAAAATTGATTTCGATTACTGATTTACTCATCAATACCATTTCCTAAGTAGTTATGAATTTGATTGCGGGAGAAATGCAATTTCTTTCGATTTTTTTAGTGGGGTTCGCTTTTGAATACTGTTTTCATCACAAACTGATGTCAAGTATTTACAAATTCAAAATAGGTTTTGGTCTAGTGAAACATCAGAAAGTACACGATGAAATACGATCATATTAAGATAATTAAAAAGAATACCAAGCACAGTAATAATGATATGGGATAGTAGTTATTAGTATATACATACAAATTGTGAAAACTACTAAAGGTAGCTGACTTTACCTACAAAACAACGATTCCTTCAACATAAAAAGCATATTACTAGATTTTAGTACTAGTTATATAGTGCTGCTATTTTATGAGACCAACCTTAAAAGACAACAGTGATCTAAAATCTCTGTTTTGAAGAAATAATAGTAAAGATGATTGTACGAAGAAATCGTCTTTCTAACTTGTATCAGCTAAATGAACAGGGGAATGATGCTATAGATGTGACATGAAATAAAGCGATTGCGAAAACAGATGAAAGATAAATGAATATTTTGTTTTATTTAGAAGTTCATCATTAGTAGACAGATAATCTTTTCGTGATAGTACTGAACATTTTTAAGCTCCACTAAGAATAGAATTTTATTATATCAGCACTTGTTAATTGTTTAGACTCATCATGAATTGAGACTCCTTGGAATCTATATGAAAAACTAATGTATCAAAGCAAATACTGTCTTGTGATGATACATAAGGAAGACTGTACAATGTTCTAGTCTAAATTCAATAGATTTTTCTGAAATACTTAGACATTAAGGTTTTCTCATATGATTTTTAGTCATTTTTCAATTTCCATTAACTCATGATGAAAATCTATTTCTTTCTTTTCTGCTAATGATAACAGGCACATAATAACTTTAGAGCATCTTCAATGAGTCATGATTATTTAACTAATTATTTATTGGATGCAATGAATACAATAGAAAATGAGTAAGACATTTTTAAACATGTATACTTTACAAAAATATTCACTATAAATTTGAAACAGTATTTGATCATTACAAAAACCAATGTAATAAGGAATTTGTATGAACTATTTTTCTTTTGAAATTATAACAGATTGTTGATTTGCCTCAGTCAAATAGGTGATGTACTTTGGAACACTGGATTACAAGTTCAAAGTATGCCCATTTACCATGATTTCATTACCAAGTTGTAATTATCACCTGTCAGAAAATAAATCTAAATGATAGCCTAGTACACAATTGTATAAGTGACCATTAAATTAAGTCTATAATTTAGGCTGAATATTTTTTTTATTTTTAAAATGTATTCCGTATTACAATGGTGTGGTACTGTTCAAGCTGCATGTTTCATTAAACGCTTTTACAATCATCCTGTAAATATCCCTGCCATACAGAAGAAAATATTGATAAAACAACTATAAATCATTCAACTGAGGGTTTGTAGAAATTAGTTAATCCCAAAGTACTTTCCTTCATAAATTGAGACCATGAAGTTGTAGGTGTACAATGCTAAGGAGTCCAGAAGTGTGACGAAGCATCCATCGAGTACTTCCAGGTTTTCGGTGTTATCAATATGTAATGAGTACTACTTTGAAACCATGAACAAATTATTATAAGAATAGGGATTGAGCATTGTGATGAAGTATAATTCCTTAAGAGTTCTTTTGTTATGTTTATCATCTAGTGAAACAAAATTATTTGTTGATGACGTTTCAAGAGGAATTTATGACTAATAGTCAGATCAAGTTAATCACACAACTCTCTGGTACATTTTCTTGAGTTCTACTCCTTTTCATTCTCTGATATATTTCATAGTAAAATTTTCCACATATCTGGATATGAAGTGTTTAAGTAATAGGACTATTATTATATTCCTATCTGGTAAAGGCAACTCGACGGTAACACTAGACAAATCCGACTAGATTAACAAAGTTAACAAGCATATTCAAACAAGTTTGTGTGAAGAAGCTGGCGGATACTATTATGAATAAGGTGAAGAAATCGACAGACTTTCTCATACACTGAATAAAACTGTTTCTACGTGAATCTAAATGGTTCACAATTTGATGGTCCGTAAGTAAGGTTGTCTTATCAGACCCGTAGTTATCTTGAGAAACACTTCTGGCTATTATCTATCTGACAACTTAATTGACCTCATTGTATATCTTCTAATCATTGTTTTCGTTCTTACAAAGTATTTGACCTCGATTGCGAACCAATTCCAATGGGACCTAATATCATTACCAAATCTTGAGATATATAATATCAGTTTGACTATCTGAGATAGCCATGATTTGGCAGACTAGTATTTCTACTGGGTGATGATTGAAGGTGAAATGAGAATTTGGACCGCGGCCGGATTTGAACCAGCATATAGTGATCGGGCAAGACCCCGCCCCTGTGAAATAAAAATCTGGTCAGTAGTCGGACCTCTTAACTCAGTCGGTAGAGAACCAGGCCGGAAACCCGGTGGTCGTGGGTTCGAATCGGATTACTATCCAAAATCTCATTTCACCTTCAATCATCACCCAGTAGAAATACTAGTCTGCCAAATCATGGCTATCTCAGATAGTCAAACTGATATTATATATCTCAAGATTTGGTAATGATATTAGGTCCCATTGGAATTGGTTCGCAATCGAGGTCAAATACTTTGTAAGAACGAAAACAAAGATTAGAAGATATACAATGAGGTCATTAAGTTGTCAGGATGCAGAAACTTATCCAAATGCAAATGGTTGATTCTAAGAAAGTAAAAAGCTAGAAAGGAGCTCAGCAGTATTAGCAAATAAGTTGATTAGGTGTAGAAGGAATAATATACATTATGTTCGAGACATATACTACCAACAGGCGCTATATACCTTCTCTTGTAGATGATGCTAAATAGAAACGTTATAAGACTGACAACATTTTTCCTTCTTTATACTCAGATAATATCCCGATATACGAGGATGAAAAACTGGACATTGAATTGTACTTGAAACTATACGATTTCGGGACTTATACTCTACTGCTTTCTAATACAGCAACCCGAATTTACTTTTTAGTCAATCAGTCAGTCAATCAATCAGGGAATTACTCTCTAATTTAAATTTCTGTCATAGGAAACGTTTCCAACTTCGATAATTTCATTATCGAAAATCATTAAATACATCCGATTTTTAAAGGGCATAACTGCCACTTAATTTCTTTATTTGCTCATTATTTGAACACTTTAGAGGTAGCTTTCACTTATAATCAACTTTGTTTTGAAAGGCTGTTAAGAACTAGGGATTATTTGATGATGATTCCATCTTAGGTTAAGTCTTTAAAACTGCGTGAACTCGTTACAACTAGTAGGACCGAATCTACAAGACCATATGTTAATTACAAAACAAATGAGTATTTTGAGAGGAACTGCACGATATATTTAATACTGATTAGCATGGGTCGTTAAAAACATTCACTTACATCGGTTTCGTTTGCCAACTAGATCAGAGAATCTAAAGGCTGGTTTCATGTTCCTGTAGTTTTTAGCTGAACTCCTCAACGATGTACTGGAAATGATTCATCTTAGGGAGCCTGATTATTGAAGCTAACCGGGTAGTAAGCAACCGCTTCAATAAACTATTAATACTCAAAAGTCCAACTTAACTATTCAAGAGATACCTTGGGCTGAAAAGCTTGTGAGAATAAGTTTCGCTTCTTAGAACCTATATTACTTCAATAAATATGGAAACGTTTCTTGTTCGTAAGATGAAATTGTTTTTTCACAACTTAAAATCTATTCAACTTGATTTAATGATGATTTTGTAATTTGTTTTAATCATCAAGTAATGTATATCATTTTGTTTCAAACGTTAGTTTACCTATTCATTAACTATTTGAGTCTTTTATCGACTTTAAAGAAACAATTAATAAGCCTTCTTTAGTGAAATGATATGCATATTTCCACAAAAAGGAAAAGTAAACATTTATCTATGTATTTATTTTTAACATAATGTCAAGAGGTACAATGGCTTGTTGCGATGCCCTGTTTGTCTTGGTGTCAGCATACAAACAATTTAGCGATAGAATATATTCTGTAAGTTTTAAATGTTAATTTTGAAAACAATGAGTGATTTCGGTTTTATGCACACACTTGTTTCTAAAAACAAACTTTACCCGTATTATGTACTGTCACTGAAAGGCGTGCCTATTAAGTACATCACCTTATTGAAGGCTCTCTGCTCGAACACTTGTGGGCATGTTAGATCCTATGGCGAGTTGTCCAGGGAGCTATACTCATCGAGTGGTGTCCGTCAAGGATGCCCACTATCTCCATTCTTATTCAATTTTATCATAGATATTCTTATGGAGGTTTCCCTCTCGTCACTTAATTACACAGACGTTGACTTAATCACAGGAGAATTTTCATTAGACCTAGAGTATGTAGATGATATAGTCCTGTTAGGTGAAGACGCTGACAAGATGCAGAGTCTTCTGAACACTTTGAGTAGCAATTTGAGAATATTTGGGATGCGTTTCTCACCACCCAAATACAAATTATTGCCACAGGATTGGTCTTCAATGGTGCCACGGCTAAAAACAGGGAGTGTAGTAGTTGAGTGTGTTGACGACTTCACGTACCTGGGAAGTAGGATCAGCCCTAGTGGTTCAGTGGCCGATGAGTTCTCTGCACGGATACAAAAGTCTCGGCTTGCTTTCGCCAACTTATGCCACCTGTGGCGCCGCCGTGATATCCGATTGTCTATTAAGGGCCACGTGTACTGCACAGCAGTCCGGTATGTTCTACTGTATGGCTGTGAAACATGGTCATTGAAGGTGGAAGACATGAGAAGGCTGGCTTCAGGTGTTTGACCACCGTTGCATTCGTAGTATAGGCCGCCGTGTTCCGTGGTGTCAACACATGAGTAACGCAGAAGTCAGCTGTAGAGTTTTAGGGAAAACAAGTAAGTTAGTTGATACGGTTGTGAACCTTCATGGACTGAGATAGTTGGGACATGTGTTACGTATGCCTAGTTGCCGTCTGCCTCGTCGCACAATGTTGGCCGGAGTAGGTCCAGGCTGGAAAAAGGCTCGAGGTGGCCAGACTAAAGCATGGCATCAATGTATGAAGTCTTTGACTGTCGGTTTGATCCATGCGGGGCGATGCAGACTAGGTGGTTGGGGTCCGCGGAACAAGAGAAACCAGTGGTTGGAAACTCTAAGTGATATGGCTCAGTACTGATGTCAGTGGCGCAGATGTATACATACATTATCCTCATCTTAACGATGCTTTACCGAATCTCACCATTTTCGCATTCTTCCTTTCTTTCCTTTGGTACATTATATTCCTTCGACTGAACTTTCTTTTCTTCATCTTGCACTTCATTGCCTTTTTACTTGATGTGGTGATATGAGGTGTGGCAACTCGGACCGTTACGTAGTAATGCCTAGTCCTATTTTGATTTGGATTGATGATGCATATTCACTTAATTGAGCAAACAAGATTGATACGGGATGGGCACCTGGAAATGCTCTCCACAGAATAACATTATTCAGAAATTAAAATGATGTACTTGTAAGGAAAAAAGTGGATACAATTAAAAAAAGTTTCTAAAACACGTTCATGGATGTGTTTGTTACTTCCGTTTTACATTTTCATATCAGAGGAGACAAGAAAACTACAGCATTATCACCATTGGTTACGATTTCGAGTGATATCTGGTAGCATCTCAATCTACTGAATTGCCTGATCTTCTAACTTACAACAGCCAGAGTTCATTCCACATAGTCACTCAATTTACAGATCACCCGTCTATTTACTTGAATCACTCTCAGAATCAGAAGACAGTGAGCTGTACGTGGGCCTTTGAGGTGACATTTTAAAAAGATGTTCAATCTACAACTGGTGTTTCGCGATGAATTAACTCAATGAGGTATTGTCTTCAGTATATCCATAGACATATCACTGGACCTCATAATTAACTACATGGAGTTTTCGGTTCATGCTAATAATCCCACAAAGACTACTATAATTAAAAACAGAAACTGATGGAATATCCTTCTGAGAAAGCTAATTTTCACAGGTAGACAGGAGAACCACTTTAGCAAAGCGTAGTAAAGTCGACCATTTTACGGTCACGTAAACACTACGAAATTGCGGAAGGTTATTCAGACTAACAAATAGCGCTATGAATGTTGATTAGTGGTTAGAAATTTTATGTCATACCTCCACCAGCATACATTAAACCACCTATTTTCATGAACTTCTTGACTTCTCTCAAAGGTTTACTACCATGCATAGGCTGGTGCCATTCTTTTTAAGATACTGCTCTTCGATTATACATTGCGCATACCTACTTTCGAACGCTGATCATTAACTGAGTAAATACATGCTTTTTAGCGTGTTTGTTGTTGGATAGTGTAACGATATCTCCCATAGATTCAAGCCTACAGGCTTCTTTCTTTCACAGTCTCGAGGAAATCAAAATTCAGGAGGAATCGGGAAGTCGTACAACCCTGTCTAACTCTAGTACCGTTTCAGAACAATAGAGGGGCAGTATATTCATACCCTCACTCTGCCCAAGGTATTCTTGTAAAGAAATTGTCAAGCTTCTAAGAGACACGCGTTTTAGTATAAAGTTGGAGAGTATAGATTTTTTCCAGTGAGGTTAAAGCAGATGTAATATTAAGAAGCATAGAATGCTAACTTTCAATATATGTGTTAATTTTCGAGCATGTGTGGGAGTTTGTAAACGTGACCGTTATACTCAACCTTATTGAAATCCATACTGCTCTTGCGGGTTAATTTTTACTTGTTTTGCGAAGCCTATAAATTATGATAGCAGTAAATATTTCGAACGCAACAGGTAGTGGACAGATACTCTGATTATCACAGACCTTGCTCGGAACACTATTAATATTGTTTCAGAGTGACGATAAACTACCATTATATCATATCTTCTCAAACAGTCCAACGGATTCCCAACTACAATCTTGCATCTATCCTTAAAAAGAGCTGAGAGTGAACCATCTCAGCTGACTTTCCGTACTTGAAGTTTTGTTGAACCTCCAGTTTTCTAGGTGAATGAATGTTGACCGACTATGGAACACTATCTTTTGAGGTCAAAATTTCTGGGACTGAAGCCTCACCAAATCACTTTTCAGAGTACCCAATAAGAGTCTTTGATAGTTTTTGATCAGCACACCACCTTTCTCACAGATTTTCTTATACCTAACCTTTTGGTGCTGGTGACAGAGACTAGTTAGAGCTTTTGTTTCCATAATAGTTGTGCGTTCCCACCAGAAGGTCTCATAGTTCTTATGTTATTGTTATGTGATCTTTTACCTAAGGGACCTACATATACGATTATACTAGCAGTCCGCTAAAAAAGACCACGAAATGACGAGGAGTTTCCAGATGCTTTCGCAAACCTAGTTCAGACATGTGCTCCAGAAACAAAGCGGTCGTGGGCAGCTAATTGCAGTACAGGATTTTAAGTCCAAACTTAACTGGCAGAAGGAGAATTTCAAACAGCCCCACAATGTTAGCCTTATCAGAATTTGGTTTTGGTCAGAAAAAGGTTGTGATCTGCGGAAAGCTTCGGAAGACGATCACTATTGTCAGACCTGAAACCGACTGATCCCCAATGGCTGTCTAAACGACTCTATTCTGAGCCTAATGACTTGACCTATGCATTAGAATCCCAGGCTAGTATTACGGTATCCGTCTGGTGCACTTGATGCAAAGGGTTATTCAATTGATGAGAAGTGAAACTCATCATTAACTCTATTCTGTTTGCGATCTGTTGAAAAATGAGCGGAGCTGACGAAAAAAGATATTTCTTTTTGTCAATTACTTTCCAGTGTTACCAAACCTTCTAGCTTAAAAGCCAGCTCAGATCCCACTCAAGTGCTCAATATAAAATTGATATCAGCAAGACCAGCAGCGTGTTCCATAGGGTCCGCAGGTAAGCACACACTGAACACACCTTAAGAGCTGACAGATGTATAAGTTATTCGAAGTACTTCGCTAGGATATTTTATTCACGTCTGTAAAATTTAGGTTAAATCAGTAGTGAGGCTTCTCAGAGTCCTAACAAAATTTGTTTGTCATACAATCCAATACCAGAGACCGAGCTTTGAAGGCGGTCACCTTGCATAGTATATGTGGTTTCAGTATAGCTGTGTTACTTTTCTCACTAGAAGACAAATTTATGAAAGCAACTGTCCAACGACTAAAATGGTCAAAAAAGACCAGAACTTCAGTCAATGATGAACAACTAAATGAAATAAAGGCAAAATTAGAGGCAAACTCTAAAAATGATCCCGATAAAATAATTCATTTCACACCCAAAAATAACGACAATGGTGCAATAAAAATAGTTGAGTAGAAAAACTGTAATGAAACAAGTTTGGTTTCCTACCGGAAAATTTGATAAGTTGTTTTAAGTGCTAACTGTAATAGCTGTTCCTCGGTTAGTTTCAGGTTAAAGTTACCAAACGAATCAGCAAATTGAAGCGGGCGTTTATCTTTGAAGAATACTCTAAGCTTTTGCTTTCAAATATGATCAACAAGATTACGTTCCTAGGTTTGCAAGTGACCGGATCAGATTCATACACTAGTTATCCTATCTGGATAATAGGTCAAATGTAAACCACTAATTTGAAATCAATTTTGTCCTGATTCTGCTAGGTGGACCCTTTATGTCCAACAATCCAGTGGTAAATGCCAATCATTTGTTGTCATTCTTTCGTTGTTGTGGAAGTATTCCGATACGTGAACGTAATAATAGGACTCCTCTGGAAGAGGACATGAAGACATGGCCATGTAAAAGTGTTTTGAGATGGAAAAACGAGAAAATTAGAACTGTATAGTCTACACATCATAGTTAAGGAGTTATCTTGATGTGACTATGGGAAATAATTTGTCCAAAACGTAATTCAGTAAATAATACTGTTACACTATGTGATACATTCAATAAATCAACTAAAGTCAAATCACATTCTACTATAGTGCCCATGTTTTACTCTTATAGTAATCAGATTCGACATAATGATTAATATAAAGATAATGGTTGGGTGCACCACTGAAATCGA